CACACACACACACACACACACACACACACACATGCATGCATACATATGCACAGTCCAGAAGCAGCCAGCTTGATAGATATGCGGCAGCTATGTTTCAGAATGAGATAAAAAAAATCTCTGTATTTAAGCATAATTATCCACAGCCCCCTGCCCCCCAAAAAAATTCAGAACTTTTAAGTCTTTTTTTTTTTTTTAATTTTTAGATAGTGTATGGTGTCCTGGCTGACCTTAAATTCATGACTGCTGTCTCTATTCCTGCAGTGATGGGTTGATGAGTGTGCTACCATGCTTGGCTCAGTCTTATTTTATTTATTTTGTATGATGATTAAATCTACTTCCTACATAGCCATTTGTCATTCTTACCAGGTCAGCATCAGAGAGACTATGATGTTCTGTTGACCCAGAATACCACTTTGCACCAAGAACCACATGTAACAGCAGGCTGGAGTGATGGCTCAGTGGTTGAGAGGACTTATTCTTTCGGAGGACCTGGGTTCAAGTCCCAGTACCCAGATGGTGACTCACAGCTGTCTCTAACTCCAGTTCTAGGGGATTTGCCACCCTCGCTTTGCTTCTCCAGGGCTGGGTATGTACATGGTACACAGATGTATATGCAGACAAGACACCGATACACATAAAAGAAATACAGTTTGTAAAAGAGTGGGCAGCAAGCACACATCACCATGTGGTCCATTTCATTTCCTTCTTTCTAGGCACAGGAAGTTCAGCTCTTTCTTCCCGGGTCTAATGGTCAGTGAACGTGGCCTAGGTTCCAAGTTGGACTCCATGGAGGACGGTGACATGCTCATGGGCATCTTCTCCAGGGCTCCATTGTGATTCTGGGTTCTATCCTAGAGGCAGCAGTGAGCTGTCTCACACACAGGGAAGGAGCTGGCTCGACACAGACCTCACTTAGCAGCAGCTGTTTGGCTTCAGCACTTTCCTGATGCCAGAAGCCAGGGCTTGTGGTGTGGGGCTTTCTGCAGTGCAGCTCACAGGCAGGCCCTTGGCAGCCATAGCACGAGTTGTACTGGGGCCAATTGCTACAAACTGCAAGGGAGGAAGATGCAAGAGACATAGCCTCAGCACCATAGCAAAGGCTGTGTGCAGGCGTCATCTGGACACTTTGTTAGGAGATCATTCCTCATGATGTTTCACGTGAACAACAGGGCCACCTAACTGGAAGCTGGCTTCAGAATCTGCACAATACCTTCAGTCAGGATCTCAGTATCACCTCATGCAACCAGTGCACATATCCTGAGGGCTTGGGTATGTGTGAGGATGAAATCCAGGATAGATTCTATCTTCCTCAGGGACTATAGCTACAGACACATCTGCTCCAGTGTCAGGGGCTCTGGGTGGGAGCAAGTGGGGAGCTTGAGGAGCCAAGGTGGGTCTGGATCCTCCAGGCACACAGAACAGTCATAAGCTGGAAGGTCAGGGTTCATATCCCAACAGCATAGGGCAGAGAGAGGCCATTGGCATCCACTCTCTCTGCCTCTACCTTCTTATCTCTAACCAGGCTGTCCCCTGGGCTGCCAGAGGAGTACATGGAATGGTCAGGGTGAAACACTTAGTCAATGCTGGACACAGATATATGCTCACTGACAGATGTGTGACCTCTAGGTACACAGCCACCCCACAGGCTATGTGGTCACTGTGAGAAGGCAGGAGAGAAAGACAAAGCAATGGCTTCCATTCATTTGGTGGCAAGTGCCATTAAGTTCTCCCTGCTTTAGCATGGCTCCTTTGTGGCATTTATATGTAAGTCAGCCATAAGCAGCAAGCACAGGTCAGAAGTTACTCCTTAACCCTCTGTGACTCCCTGTATTTTAAATAATGCTGTATAAACATTGAGTCTCATAAGACTTCTACAGAAGAAGGAAAGCCACTGTCAAATCTTGAGCAGAGCTGACCAGGCGTGAATGCCAAGCCACCCAATGCTTGGGTCTCAGGACCCTGTCCTCTATGAGCCTCAAAAGTACCCATGTGGGCTGGCACTAAGTCCCAGTAATGAATTTATATTGGCTTTAATTTATATTGGTTTTCTGGTTCTGGAATAACCCACAGTCCCTTGTTAGCCCTGAAAGTTTCTTTCCTGGCAGCTGCAGAACCCAAGGTTCCAGTGATATCTTTAACTACTGGTGCATGGTACACTAAACAGTGGTAGAATGATAACTGGGGGTGGCAAGAACCCCTGGGTTACAGAAATGAATGGAACAGATTTAAGAAGGGTACCTTCACTGTGCCCCAGTTGCTGCATGGGTCTAGGCAGTACTGGCAGCAAAATCCTAAGTTGAAATTCCCAGTGTCTATTTTGCTCCAACTTGGGTTTGCTTAGGATGAGGACGGAGTAAAGTCATGACAGTACAGGTTCTCACTGTGGCACGGGCAGCCCAGGTGAGTTCTGAGACATGTTCTCATCAGCAAACTGCACAGGCACACCATGGTTATCTCGTGACTCATCCAGAGACACATGAGCAGCACTGGCCAAACCTTCCTCGGTGCCCATGTGCTCACTTGACCAGTGACTGTGCTGAGCACTCATGGGCCATTTCTCTTCAATCTTGACTGCAGGAATCAGGTGCCTCCCTCACTAACAGTCATAAGAGTTGGCTTCTAGGAATATGGTATAGGTAAGCCTGGCAAGGTGTCGAACCTTTCTGTGTTCAGCATCTTCCCCGTAAGGAGGACAATCACCCCCATCCTGCTGGATCCCCACAACCAGACTAGCATAAGCTATGACTGCAAGAAATTTGATGACTGCCCACCAACTGCTAAGACCATGGCTATGTGTCACCATGGCCCACAGCCTGACATTCTCTTTTTTGGGGTCCAACCATGGATTCTTCCTTTTCAGCTACCCTGCGCCTAATATTCCACTTTGAAACTGGGAAAGTCTGGATGTCCAGGTGGGTCACACTTGTGAGTTGCAACTATGATAAGCCAAAGTGCTGGGGTCACCTGACTGAAGTGAGCTCTGTGGGGTAGAGATGGGACCTACTGTTCCTGGGTTCCAGACCACGCTTTGTACCTTCTCCTCAGTCCCAGTGGAGACTGGTCAAGGACAACTCTGCTTCAGGTGCCTCAAGGGTTGTGTTACTTGAAGACACCTAAGAAATACAGTCCCTGAAAGTGTGGGTGTAAATCCTTTAAGTAAAAACAAAGAGATAGATATTTCCAGACTAGAGAACCATGTGAACATGTTCAATGGGGGACAAAGGAGGAGAAGGCACTAATACCCACACCAAACCCTGACAGAAGGGCCTCACTTGAGTCCTCAACTAACCAAGGATAATGCCATATGGGGAAGGCCAGATAGTTAGCTATCCAGGACAAAAAACTTGGATCCCCAAGTTAGACTAAGACTGGTCCAGCGAGGATTAGCAATGTATGCAGAGCACCAGCAATGGAGTGGTGGGCCCCTGGACTCTACAGTCAGCTCATAAGCGTCCGACTCAATGTGCAGATTCCAGGAGACAGTAAGGAGCAAATGGTGAAGGCCACAGAATACCATACCTTAATCTGATCAAAGCTGCCACCAGATAACTCCTGAATATACTCGAGGCTGTATTTAAGGCCGGAAGGACTGAAAAATGTGATGCTGGCTGGGATACCCTATGGGAAAGGTAAAGATGAGATCTAGCCTTTGCTCCTAGACAGCATTCCTCATCAACACCGACCGGTGCAGCTCCTGCAGCCCCAGGGGCTCTGCAATGGTATGGTCCCTGGCTAAGTGCCATTCTCAGCCCACCAAGGCACAGTTTGAAGGAACTGTTGGTGAAGCAGGCTGAGGCTGGAGAGGCAGGCAGTTCCCATTGGTTGCTCTGCTGGCCCTAGGTCTGTTTAGCCAGAAGACACAGACTCCCTGGAGCCCAGGCTCAGCAGTGGAGACAGCCCCAGCTCCTGGAGTTAGACAGCCCTGCTGGAATCAACAGTCTTCTTGTAGGCTTCTGTCAACTTCCACCCACTAGAGGAAGAGCAGACAGCCTACATGGTTTCTCTGCACTTGGATTGTCCTAACAGGACCCCCAGAACAGGCATGACATGCAGAAGCTGTTCTAGGAGAGCAAAAGGCTGTGACTTCTGTATAGAAATAGTGGAGTCACTAATTTAAGAAGCACTCTCCACTCTCTTCCTCAGGTCTCACAATCCCAATCCAGATTCCACAGTGGGCTCCTCCCAGTGTGGGTGTAGCCTCTGCCCCATGCAATGGAGAACAAGGCAATAACAAGGCCCCTGCGTATCTCAGCCCTTTGTATATGGCAGATGTTACACCAACAGATTTGTATGAACTCTCTCCTTTAATCCTTATTCAACTTTCACTGGATGGGTCTATGCCTGTGTTACAGATACATAAAAATGGAGCTGCAGAGAAGCCATCTGCTTAGTCACATGGCTGGAAATGACAGAACCCCAAGGAGAATCAACACCTGCAATCTCATGCCCCCAGCTCCTGCTCCTCCCCTGGGGCTTGCCCTGCTGGGCTTTGCTTTCCCTGGAAACTCTGCATACCTGATCTTCATAGTAGCTCTTCAGGCTCCCTTGAATTCCAGGGTGTGGAACTGTCTGATAGACATGCATGCTTTCCAAGGGAATCCCTGGGGACAATCAAAACCATGAGACAAGCTTCACTTTACAGGGAATGGGAATAGGGGCTCTGTACCCTCTGCAGTGTGTAGCTGATGGGGACGGTCACCATACCTCTGAGAACCAGCTCCTCAGAAATGGAAAGCTCAACTAGGGGGCAAAAGACCTTGCCCAGCCCTGAGTGACCTGCAGAGCACCATGGAATCAATCTACAGTCGGAAAGGCTGAGTTAGAAAAGAAAGGTCCAGAAAGCACAGCTGTCCTCGATACTCACACATGCTGTTGGTTCCCATGTCTGTGTGAGTTTGCCCACACAGCTCACCCTGGCTGCTCCATACAGCCCACAGTCATGCTGGCACCCAGGGTTAGGACAGCTCTCAAGAAAGGCTTAGCATCAGGAGAGCCAGCTGCATCCCAGCTCTGCCTGGACATGGTCATGTCTGCCTCCAAGTCTCAGGACATTCATCCTGGGGGTGTTGTTAGCTAATTCTAGTCACCTTTGTCCTTGAGCATTTTTGGAAGAGTATCTCCTTTGATAGTTCCACAGGGAAAGAGAAGAGGCAGTTCTGAAGATGGCTCTGCGGATACAGAAGCAGACATCGTAAGAGGTTTGTAAAAGCTCAAAGGATGACACTATGCACAGAGGAACAGGGAGGGCGGCTCCCAGGAGGGTGAAGCTAGGGACCTCGGGCTCAGGTTTGCTTTAAGATCTCAGTTCTAACACCTGTCGCCAGAAAGGGCAGCTGCTGTGGTGTGCTGGCCTTGATGGTTTCCATGAAGAACTGAGGGGGAATGTCAGTGAAAAGCCTAGAAAACTAAGCCACAGAAACAAGGCACCGCTGTCCTATTTGCTGCGTGAACTGTCAGGAGGAGGCTCCCTCGTTCACAGTCCCTATTTTGAATGGAGGCCTTGTACTTAACTAAGTAAGACTGGTATTGGCACTGGGCAGAGATTTCCTAGGTCTAGAGGAGGGCTGGATGAGCCAGGCACATGTGCAGGAGACAGTAATGGACTGGCCCCTTGGAGTGCCTCTGTAGCCACCTTCAACAAAGACCAGTTCCCTGCCTACTATTCAATCAGCCATGCCAGTAGCCCAAAGGGCACAAAAGACAGAAGGCCGCTCCAATGGCCCTGAATCTCACTGGGCCCACCACCCACCTCCATGAGGCCATGTTCAACCCTGAGCACTTTGCAACTGACAGAACAAAGAGCATGTAACAAAACCATCTGACCAAACTGAGGGCTTTGTCAGATGCAAGAACCTTCCTCAACGGTGAACACAAAGTGTTTTACTAAAACCAAACCATTTCTTCCATATCAGAAATGTAATAGGTTGTTGGCTGTGCACAAACATCATGTATTTCCTATACCAAATGATCCTTCTGAACACATTACTGGTGACTGAGATCAGAAAGAATGAAACAGCTCTCCCCAGCTGGCACTCGCTTTGGGAAGCTGTAGCTGAGTGACAGGCATAGCTGGAGGCTACTGTGTTTGAAGTACATGCAACAGCGACATGCTGATGGATGTTTTATTCAAACTGCTCTGTAAATATTGGTACCAACATAACGAGCGAGCAGACTGGGAGATGATTAACTATAGATCACAGGTGCCTGCTGAGTTCTCTCTCTAGTGAAGGGCGGCAGGTACCACTCCTAGGCAAACATTTTCAAAGCCGTGTTCAGGCGCTGTGCTCTCAACCCTAGCCTAGGAGTCTCTCCTGTGAGTGTTGTGGGTGGAAGGTGCAGGGAGCCAGGGGCTAAAGCTCTTCCTACAGGAAGTCAAACAGCTCAACTTTCTGGCAATCTTCACCCCAAGGCAGCCAAAGAGCTTCTGGATGATTCAAGAGTTTCCCTTTCACCCCTTTAAACTGACAGAGAAGACTGGTAGTGCAGAGGTTGAGGAGTACAACGCTGCTGAGGAGGGCCTGAGGAAGTCTCCACAGACAGTGAAGCAGCCCGGATGCAGGTAAGAACTGAGTTGTGCACTTCCGGCCCTGAGGCTACCTGGAGCATGGGAGTGGGAACTCTGTACAGCCAGGAGGCCACTCCAAACAAAGGTAGTACTGTCCTCCTTGGCTTCTTTGTCTCTTTAAACGTGACAATCTATGATCCTAAGCCATTTAGCTTGTAATTATTCTCTCCTTCAAAGAGAGGACCAATGAAAGGTCTATAATGAGTGACCAGGTTAAATGGGTTAACAGCTTTAAGTGCCCACAACAATGTCTTTCTCATAGTAAATAATTGTTAAGTAAAACAACGGGCAACAACCAGGAGGTGGCTTTGTTACAGCACACACTGGAAGTAAAAGCTATACTTGTAGCTTTTAAAATTAGACCACAAAATTTACTTCAAGAGAAACTCATTAATGCCTTGGTAAAAAAACAAGGTGAAGGTAACTAGGACTTTATTTGTATTTTCTAATTCCAAATGGAAGATTTATTAAACCTACAGATTTGCTGGTAATAAATTAGAAGTAACAATGGCTTTGCAAAGACTGCACCCCAGGGCTGGTGTCAGGACTCAGTGGGTAAGGGTATCTGTGTCCAAGCCTTATGATCTGAGTTTGAACCCTAGAACCCACATGTAGGAGAGAACCAATCCCGAGAAATAGGACAAAACATGTCACTATCCACCCTGCCAAGCCTGGGCAGATCAGCTGGAGCACAGTGTGAGCATGCGAAAATGGCACTGGCCCTCTGCCTTGTGCTTCCAAAGCAAGGAAACCGGCCTGGTGGTGCTAGACCTTAAAAAGAGCAGTGGCTTCGGCACTTCTGTCTCCTTCCAAACAGAAGCATCTAATTTGAGTACGCTTAAGATCTCTCTGCCCTGGAGAGAGGAGGAAGCAAACTGACCCATTTATAGAACATTTATTATTATCCCTCATAAACATAGCGCCTGATTCTAAGAGAGCAGCTGGGTCTGCCCTTTACATTTAGGTCTGCACTTTTAAAAGACAGGCTTCATTGGTGCTACGTAGAGCTGTATGCCAGACCTTCTATGTCTCCAAATCTGGCTGGGTACCTGTACCTTATTATGCCCTTTATAACAGACCAATGTACATGGGCAGAGTGTCGCCTTGAGTTCCACAAGCCATTCTACCAAGTTACTGACTCTCAGGAGGGGCTCTGGGAACAAGATCTGTAACCCAGTTGGACAGAGTTTGCATCTAAAGTTGGGGGCTGTCTTGTAGGACTGCACCCTTTCCAAATAGTCTGCACTTACTGTGGGTTGTTCAGAGCTGAATTACAGTATGGGACACCAGCTGATATCTGAGGAGTTGGGGAGCTGCCTGTGGTGTGAGGAAAAGCCATTTAGTGCTAGAGCAGTCGCCTCATCACACCCAACGGCTCGCTCTTTTCACTGCTTAGTTCACCTGTCTCCCCAAGCCTGGCTAAACTGGGAGCTCCCAGGAGGCAGGAGCTCTCACAGACCTGAGACTGAACTGACTTCGTCTCCTATGAAGTAGCAGAGACTGTGGAAGTGGGAAAGAGGTTCTGCCCATGCATCAGGTGCCCAACAGACCTCCTCATGCCAATGAACATGGGGTTCAAGAGAATGTAGACTTGGTAAACCACTCTGTGGCTGGAGCTCCCTCTTTGAAGAAGAGTGATCAGAGGGGGTGCCCTCTCAGATATCTGCAAGCTGGAGGTCTCCCCCAAAAGCTCTGCTACACCAGGGTCAGGCCCCTAGAACTCTCACCTCAGTGGGGTATCCTTAATCTGCCTGGCCAGCAGTCCTTGAAGGTGAGTGGACACAAAGCAGAGTTCACTTAGGTTTGCTGAAGGTGCTGGGCAGGTCTAAATCTGAATTCTAGCCCTGTAACCTCACAGTCTTGGTGCCCAGAGACTCAACACAGCACACTAAGAAAGAACTTCCAGAGACAACAGGAGTACCTCACAGTCAGGCACAGGGGTACTGGCTGTTAGTGATGGCTGAACTTGTGCCCGATGTGCCTGAGGAATTTTACTTAATCTGGATTACTGCGACTACCATCTTGGATGACACATTTGTCACTAACAAGGCTCCTACCTTCCTTGGCTGGTTGTGAAGACTGGCTCCTGAGCACACTGGGCACTTGTTAACACTAATTTTCAGTGTCAATGCTGAGCATTTAATTACCAGAAAGGTAAGTACCAATTTATGTATTTATTTATTTATTTATTTATTTATTTATTTAGGTGCTGGGGAATGAAGCCAGGCCCTCATGCTCTGACACTCAACTATACCCCCAGCTTTGAAACTGCTTTTGAAAGACAACTGATATGCTACTAATACAGCAGAGACTTGAAGTGCCAGGGTCGGGGGATACTCATAGAGGCCCCACCTGCTCAGAGGAGAAGGGGAGGGAGGATGGGAAGGACTATGGGAAGGGGTGACAAGGAGGGTGGCAGTGGGCAGGATGTAAAATGAATAAGTAAAAAATAAAAAAATTAAAAATTAAATAGAAAGATGCTCTAGAGTCATTTCTGTGGCTATGATAAGCTCTCTGACAAAAACTGACTTAGGGAGGAAGGGGTTTATTTCAGTTGACAGGTTGTAGTACAACACTGACGGAAGTAAGAGCAGGAACTTGAAGCAAGAAACTGAGTGTAGAGGAATGCTCCTTGCTGACTTGCTCACAGACTTAGGCTTAGCTAGCTTTCTTAAGCAACCCAGGACCACCTGACCAAGGAATGGTGCTGTCCACAGTAGGATGGATCCTTCAACATCAATTATCAATCAAGACAATCCCCCACAGAAATATCCATAGTCCAGTCTGATCTGGGTATTTCCACAATTGAGATTCCTCAGGTCACTCTAGGCTATGTCAAGCTGACAGTCAAAGCTAACCAAAACAGCTGTCCATTTTCATATTGAAAAAAAAAGTGGAGAACTGGCAACTTGCAGAGGGCCTCTGTCATTCCCTGCCTGCCTGCTGAAATCTGCTCGTGGCTCAGCCCAGGGTCTGTCTATAATCTAGGGAGCCTCAGTCCAAAATGCAGGGCTTTCGAAATGAGCAGCTTCCAGAAGAACATTAAAATGTAAAAGCTAAAGAACTTTCTGACAATAAGAATATCTTAGGGCAGGAGAACCTTAGAAGACTTTAACATACAAGTTTGCAAATCACAAAGGCCAATACCACCCTGAGAAGCTACAGTTTATAACAAACATACTCTGTTTTATCCATCATCGTTTGAAAAGCAAAAAGAGACCCATTGGAAATCCTTCTCTCTTCACCCATTTAATATGCTAAGGGAAAAGAAGACACACAGCTCCTACAACTCTGAGGAAAGCCAAAGTCATGCCAGCACCATGGCCCAAGAGATCCCTGAGTAAATCTCCAGAAGGGCCAGTCAGCACATTACAGACCCAGTGAGAGGCAAGCACCAGTTTATATTCTCCCGTCTGTTGTTCTCCTGTTCCAAATGCAGGGTCTGATAATTCTGATAGAGACCTGCCTGCTAGACCGGAGACACCTGCAGGTCCCGATCTCCTCTGCTGATACTGAGCAGAAGGATTCTACTTCAGTCTGTGTGGCTGGATGACACGCCCCAAGCACCTGCATCTACAGCGGGGTTAGACAGACACGGAAGAGGGCAGGAGACACTATGTAGAGGGTACACACTCAATCTTCCTGTCCTTACTCCAAAATCTGCACTCTACGATCTCTCCTCTGTGTTCTTCAGAAGCCTAGAACCTTATCAGTAACTTAAGGTAAATCACCATCTAAATCCCAGCAGCCCTAGAGCCGGTCCACGTGCTGACCAAAGACAGCCTTATGGGAAGTCAGTTCTTTTCCCGAGAGCACATTCTGTGGGGGAGGGTGGCTTTCATCTGGGTCGGTCTTCACTTACTTGAGCAAATATATTCAGCAAGCTTTTCTGCATTTCCACTGCCCGCTCCTTCTGCATCCAGGCCAATTTTATTCACTAGAAAATGACAAAGAAGTGAATTCCTTTTTCAGCTACTGAAGCCCTGCACTCACTACCTTTAAAGTGCAAATGTCTAGGCTGGTTTCCCACTCACAGCAAAGTGTCCTCTAGAAGCCAAATTGTAAGACCACAGCTATCCTTTCAGGGAAAAGGGTGCCCTGAGCACACTTCCCCTAGACAGGGGTCTTTGTGCTAACTAGCTTCTCTGAACCCCACTTATCTACATGAGCCAAAACCACCAGCCCTGTAGGAGTGTCTTGGGGCTCATGTGATAATGAGGCCAACTGTTGGCATCTGCTTATCAGACGGTTAACATGTGGAAGCTGCTACGTTTTCCAAGCATCTCTTAGAGAGCTCTCCTTTCATCAGGGAGATATGATCAGCTTCCATTCAGAAATGGATTATGGGCTGGCATGGCCTGACTGGAATGAAGGGGCCAGAGGAAAGGTTTCCCAACAACCAACAAGGACCCACAGCACTATGGATACAGGTAGTCGAGGGAGGGCGCTGTCCCAGCCCCTCACTCAATGCAGTACTGGGGCTCTCTATATAGGGTAGGCTGGCCTCCAACTCACAGAGATCCTCCTGCTGGCCTCCTGAGTGCTGGGTGGGATTAAAGGTGTGTGTCATTACACTCTACAAGCTCCTCTTCTTGAAGAGAAGAAACAGACAGATGAAGGCTCCTTGCCTTCTCCAGAAAGTGGGCATGTGGCTAATCTGCAGAGGGTATAGATAAAGGCAGGCCCACTCAGGACTGCCACCTGTACAAAGGAGCACATGACTTCCAGAGGAAAGAGGTCTGGTGGGCATTCCATTCAGGAGCTAATCAAGCAGTACCTGTTACCCCCAAAGACAGCTTCAGTGGACACACCACGGGCTTTTTATTCATGGTCTATGAGAAGTGTACTGAGCCTGAGGACAAGGTCTTATGCAGCTGTAAACTCTGTTCAGCACAAGTAAGCCAAGTAGCCTGGCGTCCCCAGGGACTGAGGGGAGACCGGATGGACGGATGCTGTGAGGCTGGCTGGTGTTAGTGCAGTAGGCATGTGTGACACCCCCGCCCCCATTCCCATCTTACAGTTTCATTCCATCTCCCAACCCCATTTCAGCTACTGTTGGTCAACTATGGTCTGAAAAGACTACATGGAAAAATTCCAGAAAGAAGTAGCTCCTAGGTTTCGGATTAAACATGGTCTGAATAGGAAATCTCATCCATCTAGCCTAGGAGTCAAACCTTCATCTTCCCATGACACTTTACCTAGAGAAGCGGTGGCACTTCCAACCACATACACAGACTTGCCATTCCATCTGTCTTTCAGAGACTTCTCCCAGGCTGCAAAACATGAAATTACATGTGAGGTATGCATACAAAGTGGCCAGCTAGATGTCACTGTGGTAGGTTGCTTCTTCATTCTAAGGCCTCAGCCTTCACTTTGGCAGGAAACTAGGCTCTTGGGCTGAGAAGTGAGCCATCTACTTGGACAAGGGGACAACAGCAGCAATAGCATCACTCTCAGTCCCTCACTACCCACTCTGTTCCATGTAACATCCTGGATGCCCCTCTATGGGCTCAGACTATAGAGTGTCCATCAAAAACCTGTGACTCAGAACACCTGGCACAGAGCGACAGATGACATATTCCAGGTAGCAATGAGAGTAGCCTCATGGTTTGGGTGTTATGAAGCTTACTCCAAGACCAGGCCACTGAGAGCAAAAATGATCAAGGAGTTCACAGCAGCAAATCCAGGCCCATAGGAGCACTAACCATCTCCCAATCGCTTCCCCTCACCGGAGGAACTCTCCAAGCCTGCGTTTTGACTGTAAAGTGAGGTCTTAGTGTTGTGCACACCCCAGGACTGTATTTAGCCTTCAGCCTAAAGGATAACAGGTACTCCATTAGTGTCAGTTAAGTAGCCAGCCAGTCTGGAGCCTGGGTTCTGGAAATGGGTAGGCTTACCACATACTGATAAAATGGAGAAGAAGGAACAGCCATATTGAAAAGGGCCTGGTGGGGTCATGAAGCATTTCCCCGTGACTAAATTTTCTCATCATCCACTGAGTAGTGACACTTACCCTATGTTTAGAGGATGAAACTGATGGGACACGCAAGTGAACGTTGAGAAGGCAATGGAGGGCTAGTAAGATAGTTCTGCAGGCAAAGCTGCTTGCCACCACGTCTGATCCCTGGGACCCATGAGGTGGAAGGAGAGAACCAACTCCTATGGACTGCCCCCTGACGTCTACACACTTATCATGCCATGTTCCCAATAAACAAGTAAGTCAATAATGTAAACAATAAAATAAATTAAACAGCTAGTGAGAGCACGCTCTCAGCCATGTCTATCTGGGGACTCAGAGGGCAGCTGTGAGCCAGCTCCTCCAGGCACTGGGTTCTGCTGGGTATGCAGCCCCCTTTGGACTCCAGTGTCTCAGAGAGGTAATGGGAACAGGTTAGAGTCTGGCGGACTCCAGCGCAGACCCAGTCTCACCTTCAGTTTTATTGTCCTTCTCCAAACACAGCTTCACTGCTTCCACTGCCCTGGGGCTGGTGAAAATGAGTCCTCCAAAGGCTTCAGGATGAGACAGCTGCACCAACACAAACAGAGGCTGGCTTAGACCCCACCTTTCAAAGAGCCACGACCCCAAAGTCCAAATGCATCCGCAAAGAAGTGGGCAACTGGTCCTACCCGTCCATCCCTCCACCCACCTGACACTTGCTTTCTGTGACTATGAGCCTAGAGCCATTCTGGGCTGTGGGTAAGCCCATTTATTGTCACAGCTCTTCCCTCAAGAAGATCCTCTAGGACAGAGACAGACAACTGCAACCTGGGAGATGAGCAGAGCAGAGGGGCAACCAGGTGCAGGCAGAAGGGAAAACTTGATCTGCATCCGTAATACAACCAGACTCTGAAGGAGGTAAAGCCCAGCTAAGGCCTGGGCTTCAGGTATAATACTTTGCTGAACATTTCTGCGCCAGGTACTGAGCCGCTGTGCATACCTGGCATTATTTAAGGTGTCCACACTGAATCTTTGGTTTTTGCAGTATTGAGTATCAGGTGCACACTCAGCACACCCCCAGGCCACCATCAATCTGGATGAGTCTTTGAGACTTCACTGGGCCTGACTCCTGCAGTATCTGCTGAGCAGAGCACGGTGGTGGGCAGAAGCTCTGGGCTTGCATTTGGCCCTGCCTTCCTGGCCAGGAGTTTGCATGAGTTTATAACAGAGCTCAGTCTAAAGTCAGAAGCACCTGCCTGGTGGTCTGTGCAGAGGCCAGAAGTGGACTAAATGGTCCCTACCTCTGAGAGCCTTGCTAGTGCTCTCCAGGGCCCTATCTCCAGGGCTCATGGCCTCCTTACAAAGGAGTCAGGAGCTTAGAAGAGAAGCCCATAACAAGTCTCCCCACAATCAGGTAAGTGTGTACTGCCCTTGTGGTTATGTCTAATGGTAAAATGAGGTGAACACTCTCATGGCTTGGTATGGCAAGGATTCTAGAGAGAGCAAGCCTTAGCATGGGGTTCTTACCTTTTCTGACAAACTGGGGAGAGACATAAACTCAAATGACAGAACAGGAATCAGTGTACCTTCCAGGCCACACAATCGCAGTTCCTGCAAATGAAAGAATGTCACTCTGGGTTGGCCAGGGCTGTCTTGAAAACAAGAGAAGGTCATGACCTCATATTAACCACCAACTGTTATCTGGAAATGAGGGAGCACAGCATCACATTAGCTATGCACCAGGTTCACTGAGTTTTAGCATCCCCACCCCAACCTCCATTAGAAAGGCGGTTCTAGTTTAGGCGGCAAGGTTCAGCCAATTACCTGGATATATGGATCCTGGCCACTGTCATCATCCTTGGCATCTTTCAGTAAGAGAACCTTCATTGTGCCTGGCAGCCCTTGTAGAAGACACTGCAACAGAGTGAGGAAATGGATCTTAGTTAGATCTCAGACTGCTCCTAGGCAATGCTGGAAGGGGACAGAGGCAAGGATGAGGCAATCAGTCGCCTGTGCAGAGCTAAATGGGCTTGGTCTTTCTCAAAACCCTGTCACTGATAAGGCCAAAGGAGAGCATGTTAGCAGCTGATACTGCCTGGAAAGGCAAGTGAGAGCCATTAGTGAAATCAAGTGTCTAGACCAGACAGTGGCTAACTAGAAAGACATGGTGTGTTCTGTGTCATACCAGGAGCACATAGAGAAAGGAGCATCTTAATTTTAAGGAGGTAAATAAATGAGTAAGGGAGCAACTAAATACTTATTTCGTTTTCAAAATAAATGAACCATGCCACTCATAAGACCTTTAGGAAATAGCTCTATTGGCTTTTCCACATCTCAAGGCATGTTTATTAAATGTTGACCAAGTTTCCTGAGGTGATCTATCAACCTCGACACAGTCTGTCAACATGTACCACCCATAAAGACTTACATAATTTATACTCTCTCTTCCTGTAATTTCATTTGTAACAATACATGCAAGACAACAATCAAAACTGTACACAAAGTCTGGCATAAAAATTTCATTCCAGGCAGGATGTGATGGCATACACCTTTAATCCCAGCACTTGGGAGGCACAGGCAGGGGAGCTCAGGTCACCTGGGTCTACATAGCAAGATTCAGGCCAGCAAGGGCTACATAGTGAAACCCTGTCTCAACATAAACAAACAAAAGACTTTCTTGATCATCTCTCTAATTTCCAATAACTGGAAACAACATAAGCATCCAACGAGAGGCTGGTTAAGTAATATGTGATGCAGGTTTTAGAAAATCGTTAAAATATTGACAAATAACCTAATTACATGGATTATCTAATCAAACATGTTAAGTAAAACATGCAAGAACAGTTACATAAGTAATTTGGCTTTATGTTCAAATATATGAGAAAATACACACCAAAATATTAATAGTACTTATTTCTGAGTAGGTGGTAGTATGATTTTTCTTCCTTTCAGTTTCCTTATTATCTAAGAGTGTTATGAGTATTATCTTCCTGGTGATATGAGAGACATTTAAAAAATCACTCAATTGTCTCACAATAAATGCCACGTAAGACCTACATAGTAAATTTAGTTGAGACCCAGCAAAAGAAGACATTTGGAAGCAGAAACCAGTGAGCTCTGAGAGGCATGGCTCACAAGTAACTGCTGATCACACTGATGGCTGGAAGAGTCCATCCATGGAACATGAGGACGTCTGGCTCAAAATGAATTGTTCTACATCTCAGTAGCTGAATCCAGCTAAATGGGTAAGAATTAGGAAAGGATGTTCTAGTTATTGCTGCCATCGGTGTCAGAGAAATGGAGGAAGAGGGTGAAAAAACAGATAGAATGGTTCCTAGTCCTTTCTGAGGTCCTCAAAATGTCTCCACGCTAACTGGGACCTGTGGGATCACACCGCAGCACATCTTTGTGTCATTTCGGTTTCCAAGCTTACAATAGTAAATCCTACTTTACTTTACTCTGTGCTCTGACTTGTTTTTTGGAGATAAGATACCACATTGCAGTATATCTCAGGCTGGCTGGAACTATGTGGCCCAGGTTGGCTTTGAACTTAAGGTATCAGCCTCCAAAGTGCTAGTATTACAGGCCTCAATAAGTTAAGTCTTGATTGGATTGAAAAGAGCCCAAGAGACCTGTAAAGCACATCCTGGGTATATCTGTGAGGGTGCTGTGAGGGTGCTTCCAGAAAGGATTAAAGGGGGAAAACTCTCAGAATACACTCTCCTAGAGAGGCCTGGGTGGAATAAGAGGCAAAGGAGAATGTCACATCTCCCACTCTACAGTATCAAGCCTTAGTCCCATAATAGTCTAACTTCCAAAAGCATGAGGCAAAATGCATGACCACTTCCTCTAAGTTGTTCTCTTCTGTCCTTGAGCCACAGCTATAGAAAAGCAATCAATAGCTGGTCTCCACCTGTTGGTAACCCAAGTGCTGCTAAAAAGGTACTTAGGAGATATGACCAAGTCTGCCACTGACAGACTTTTAGGAAGAGAAACTACCCCAGATAACTTTGGGGAGCCTAATTCAATCAGTCCTCAGGCATTACTAAGAATAGCATGAGGCTCCCCAAAGCAGGAATAGTTTTCCTCTAGAACCAGCTTCAGCTTGAACAAAGCCTGTATGTCCCATTGCCCTGCCCTTCTTGTTGGTTTGCCAACCCCACAGTTGTGCAAGGCAATTTCCTTCAAATGCATCTCCTAACATATATCTCTTCTTGCCTGAAGATTCTTCTTCTCTTGGCTTCGATTCTAATGTGCCTTCCAATGGGAGCTCCAGGAATCTGGTATGAAAATTTAGTGGCACGTAAAACATAGCATTTTCTGCTGAAGAATGAATTCTTCTGGGGCCCCCAATACAAGCAACGAGAGTGGGGATTAAAAAGCCAAAAATGAGATGCTGTGGAAACAGGTAATCCTGTCGCTTGCTGTACTCCAACTGTTGCTGTGCCTGTCATGGCCCCAGGCTCTGGCACACAGACCCCAGTTCTACACAGGACATTTTAGTAATGCTTTAAAAAAAAACCAATAAAGTCAATCTCCCACTTGTCTTTCTAGTTGTCAGACAGTGAGCCTAAATGTCCTAGATCTGGAAGCTTCCCCATGAGACTCAAGTCTACAGGATTTACTTGAGGTTACTTGGTAATGTCAGGTACTGACAAGTGCTGTGAGGGACAAGATAGTAACCAGGGTTCTGACAGCTGTAGGAGTTACCTCTCTGGGTACTAGGGAGACTGTTCTGGGGAGTGGACGTCTGAATCAAAGTCTGCATGACCATAGCACAGGGCAGAGGAACATGCTCGGCAAGCACCAGACCCTGGATTTGACTCCTGACTACAACCTGAACTGGACAGTAAGGAGAGACGTTTCAGCATCAGGCAGAAATCCTAGATGTCTCCATGAAAGAACAGGTATGCACAAGGAGGGCTTGAGATTTCTTTTAACCCAGAGCGTGGCCTTACTCCTAGGAGTTAGTTTCCTATTTCTTTAAGGAAATGCAAGCATTTCCCCAGTTCCAAAGATGCTGGGTAAATTTAAAGTGTTTTTTCTGCAGTATGAACAAATACTGCTGGGAAAGAAGCCTTCAAAAAAGCCAGCATCTGAAAGGTCATCAGCTGTAATGCACCCCAAAACTTTCTGGACTATCCCACCCTAGAATCCAGAAGCAGCAAGTGCTTCTTACAGAGTGCCTTCCAGGCATAAATGTCCCCATGTTGTGACTCTATTACCCTACCCCTATTGTTCACAGTCAATGCTAGCTATGGAGACAATTTGTTTTCCTTTCTCAAAATTTTATCATAAAAATTCTCTTGGCTGTCAGATCCAACTGCTGTCTTGTTGCTGGTGGTTATGGAATGCATCCTATGATCTGGTCCTTTTCTGCCTACCATGCACATAGCTCAGCAAACCCTCTATTTCAGAGTGCTTGCTCACAAAACATGCTGAGCACTAGACACACAGGAAAGTTAGTAAAGTTTGAAGTGACAGGGGCTGACAGGATAGATTCTAGTCCAAAGCTGAGAACCTAAAACCCAGGGGCACCAGGTGACAGGAAGCAGGGAGAGGGAGGACTGCCCTCCTTTCTTTTTTTCTGCAGGCCCACAGATTAAACAGTGCCTGTGTGCTCTACATACTCAGCCTACAGATCCACATGCAAGTCCCTTCTGGAAATTTCCACAGGCACACTGGGAAGGTACCTAACCAGCTAGCTGGGTATCTCACAGTCTAGTCAGGTTGACAGATCAAATTGTCACACTGCACTAAGCATTTTACAATCCTCATTTAAGCCTGTAAAGCAGCTATTATCATTTAACAAGAAGGGAAACCATGGCTCTTAATTTGCCCACAGTCAGTAGAATAAATGATAGAAATAGAATCAGGATCCAGACCTGAAGCCCAGGGCCCATCTTCCTAACCACTGGCTATCAGCTGACCTTTAAGACAAATTCTGTGCTGAAGAGGAAGTGAGCCAGAAGTTATCAGTCTACTTCCTAAGATCCCTGCCATCAGCACAGCACAGGCGAGCCATCTATTTACAGGTGCTAGACTATACTCTGTCCATGGGCTTGATATCAGGAATTAATCTGAGGACACAAGGAAACCTTTCCCTTTTTCCACCCTGCAAAGCAATACAGGCTCCTGGTGGAAAAACTTTGCAAATATAAAAACTTTACAAAAATATAATTATTCAAAAAAATTAAAAGTAGTTAATTGTATGATATATAATTGCATTTCTAGGTAGATCCCAAAAGAACAAAAGCTGAGATATTCATGTTCATTGTCCAGTGGGTAAAACCTAGAAGCAAATGTAAGTGTTTGCAGACATAAGACTAAATAAAGACTGTGTAAGCAGCCTTCGGTAAGAAATCATGATGCCTGAGTATTGTGATCACAGTTATTAAAGCCCTTTGCTAAATTACACAGATGACTGCCAGGGGACTATGAGAATCGATACTGGAGAGCTGGTTCTTTTTGTGTATGCACAGGTACCTGTTGATGAAGGGTGTTGTCTTTTACTGCTCTTACTCTCATTTTTTAAGAACAGGTCTCTCATTGAACCTGAAGCTCACTGATTGGTTAGATTAGTTGGCCATCACTCCAGTGCTGGAGTCTCAGTTGTAGCATGCAGGAGCTGGGAAATGCTGGCACATCAAGCATTTTACCCACTAAGCCATCTCCTGGCCTGATACTGCAGAGCTATTTAAAGACTAGTTTTGCAAGGTATAAACAGTCAAAGAATGGATAGTGTGATGGCTGTGAAACAGTATGGATGAACTTAGCCAAGAACCAGCACTCAAGTCTCAAGTTTAGCTATGGGGATGTTCAGGAGTCTCAGTGCAATTCTACTGACATGTTTTAAGTCTTTTTTTCCCCTGTTATTATACCTCGGGATATTATTATACCTTGAGATAAGTATTCATGGCAAGCTATTATTAGCCTTGCAATAGATTATAGGAGTATGTTTTCGGACAATTACAAAACCCAAAGCAGTCATTTAAAGCTACTTTATCAGAGGTGGAGTCCTGGTGTCATTACTGCTCATGATAGAGCCTGATAGACAAGGCCCTCCTAGGACACTTGGATCCCACAGAATACCAACATGGGGGTTCTGGGCTATTGGGGTTCCCGACTATTTCTTCTTGTTGATCACTGGGGTTATTCACATTTCCTAAATTTATCTGGCAAAGGCTTCCTTACCTCTAGGGCCAGCCAGCTCACTCTGGTTTGGGAATCAAACATACTTCATATGCTGTCGTTATTTTAAAGAAAAAAGGAGAATCACAGAGTTTATTGTCAGAAAGTTAATGTTTTCCCTACTTAATGATTTCATTGTCAGTAATCTTTACAAAGAGCTTCTTTTTTTGTTTGTTTGTTTTTTGAGACAGGGTTTCTCTGTGTAGTCCTGGCTGTCCTGGAACTCACTCTGTAGATCAGGCTGGCCTCGAACTCAGAAATCCGCCTGCCTCTGCCTCCCAAGTGCTGGGACTAAAGGCTTGTGCCACCACCGCCTGGTCTACAAGGAGCTTCAAATTGGTAGACTGGGGGATAAATCTGACTGGTAGACCTGATTTATCTGATATGGATTTTAACCATTAGGGCATTTCTTGCAAAAATTCGGCTTTTGAAAAAGAACTGAAACTTGGGACAAGTACGTGTTTAGCCACAAGTGGTGGCAGAGATAGGGTACACTCGTTAACTTGCCGCGATCACCTTCTTTCTGTTCAGCTCTTTTCAAAAACAGCTCTTTAACGACGCTGTGGGCCTGAAGTACCAAAGGTCGGCATGTCTATTAGAACTTTGTTATGGAGATGGCGCGGGGCTGGCCTTGTCTGGGGACCTTCCAGCGCGGGCTCCACCAGCACCAGTGCGCCCGAGGTTGGCAGCTGCGCCGGAATCCCGCCCCGTGGTGTCAGGGATGGCCGAGACCTGCGTGCATGTCCACAGGCCTGTGTCCTAGTGCAGTCCTGGGCCCGACATCTACCTCGTGGCCTAAGAGGCAGGACAACCTGCAAGCCGCGGGGCAGGAGTCTCACGGTCCCGGCCCAGGTTGCTGAGCACAGATAACCGAGAGCGGTCTCTCACCCGGCTAGTGCTCCCGGTGCTCGTACCTCAGACCCGGGGAACGTGGGCCACTGGCCCACATCTGGCTGAGCTCGCACAGCGGGGTCCAGACGCCAGCGGAAGGAAAGCAGACCGATGGGCCAAACCACTGCGCACGGAGTGGGGAGACCCGGAGAGAATGAGGAAGATGGGAGGATGGAGGGAAGAAGAGAGAAGGCTAGACCGTTGGCCCCAAGGTGGAAGTAAATCTGGCAGAGTAGTCTAGCGGGACTCAATCGGTGTACTTTCTAGTCTGGCTAGATCCGCGGAGAGCTTGCGCTTACTGTCTCCCCCGAGTCTGATTGGAGAGAGTCCGGAAGGACGGGGGCGGGACTCGCGCAGGCGCAGTGTGACCGGCAACATGGCATCCAAGGCTAAGAAGCGAGCGGTGGGTAATGGGGTCCAGCGGCCTCTGGGAGCACCGAGCCAGCGGGAGGAGGAAGAAGAGGATGAGGTGGTGGAGGAGGAAGAAGACGATGAAGATAGTGACGAAGAAGATGATGAAGACGAAATCGTGGACGAGGTGAGAGGCACACGTGACCATACTTTTGGTGTAGATCTTAGAAGGAGAAAACCATTCAGACAGCCGAAGCTGTGGGAACGTGATGGGAGATGTGGGGAGTTGTGATTTCCCTCTGCTATGGTATAGGACACATCCTTGACATATCCCACTGCAGGCTTTTCTACACATTACTCCCTGTAGCTCTTCCCGGATGAGTTATCCCCATCCCAGAAGCCCGCCAGCCACACACTTACCTTCAGTGGCCCAAGTCTTTACTTAGGACGGCAGAGACCTGCGAAGTTTAGTCCTTTTTCTTCCCTGCGGCAGCTCTCCACCTTCTACACAGCCAAGCTCACGCTGGCCCTCTGTAGTTGATTAAAGGCCACCTGCTTTGTCCTATTGTACAGTTTTCAAATGCTCTTTATCCTGCAGTTTTCCCTTTATATACATCTCAGCTAAACCGTATTTACTGCCAACCTGGGACAGCCAACCTGGTCAGACTGGTTTTATGATCTCTCAGAGAACTGATGTCCTTTCTTCAGATTTGTTTGTTTTTGTTTTTCCAGACAGGATTTCTCTGTGTAGCCTTGGCTATCCTTGGACTCACTCTATAGACCAGGCTGGTCTCGAACTCCGAGATCTGCCTGCCTCTGCCTCCTGAGTACTGGGATTGCTTAAACTTATTACCTATTTCCAGGTGGTTTAAGCACCTCTTTCTTGGTGAATAGTTAGGCTTGAGTGATTGTTCAAGACAGTTGCTGTCTCAGAATTGACTGTCCAAAGCAGGGCTTGTAATTTATTCCCATCTCTTCACCATTTCTGTTACAGTTTTCCAGTTCAAACCCTAATTTTGGGCGTTGACTTTAATTATTCCTCCTTTCTCACCCTACATCAGTCCATCAGAAAATTCTGTTAGCTTTACATCAGTACCCAGCCACACCTTATTGTTGATCCTGCAGCTGTTCTAGTCTATATGTGCACCGTCTCCTGCGTGCTTACTATACAGCTCCTGCTCCTCCTCTTCCTCTTCATCTCCCTCCTCCTCTTCTTCCTCCTCTACCTCTTCTTCTTCATGTTCAAAAGATGAAATTAAGGCTGGGATAACACAGTGAAATCATATGCAGCTTTAGTTTATTGTTTTTGTAGGGCTGATCATCGAGCCCAGGATGCTGTGCTTTCTGGGCAAGCATTTTATGACTGAGCCACATTCCCAGCTCCCTCTAATAACTTCACTGTCCTGCCATTCCATCCTTGTCTCCTTTGCCATCTGTATTTCATATCCTGCCAGTGAGATCTGTTTGGCCTAGTCTACTCACCCCCTTTGAATGTTCCAAGGGCTTCTTTTTCCTTTATAGAAAAATCATAACTCTTGTGATTGAAAGATGGGGGTGAGGGGCCTTCCAGCCAGAATGGCTGGTCCAGAGAAATCAAGAGAGAGTGATTGGAAATCTTCATTGAAGTAAGCATTGAGTCCGCAAGGGAATATTGCATGCAAGGATTGTAGTGCAGCACTGAGAACAAGACCGTGGTGTGGATGTTCAGCCCGTCTTCCCATCCAAGTCATTGCTTTGCTTTGGCTCTCTTGCTTTGGACACCATCTCAAAAATGTTTACTAGCTATTTTGCTACCTTAGGGTTTTTGGAGTCAATACTTCCTTCTTCTTTTATTAACATGGAAAATCTAACAGATTGCTACTGACTACAACTGTGTGCTGTCGTCACTGGCTGTGTGAAGAAGGAACCTTACATGAGGGATTGCCTCCATCACATTGGCCTGTGGGCTTGTCAGTGGGCATTTGCTTAATGAATGATTGATGGGGGACAGTCTAGCCCAGTGAGAGCAGTGCCTCCCCTGGGCCTGAGTGGTGTACGAAAACAAGCCAGTGAACAGTGTTCTCTGTGGTCTCTGCTTCTGTTCCTGCCTTGAGCTCCTGTCCTGACTTTCCTCGGTGAGGAACAATTACCTAGAAGAAATTGCTTTTGGTTTTGGTGTTTATAACAGTGATAGAAAGAATGCCATTGCTGATAATAGTGTAGCAATATAAACATCTACATATTCTGTAAATGGGAGTATAAATCTGTGTGATCCCTCGGGAGGGTAATTTGACAGTATTTTTCAGAACTTAAAGTGCATATAACTCCTGACTCAATAACTTGTAAGAATTTACCCCCAGAAATTGATAGTAACATTAGTAACATTACTAATACTCCTAGACTCTGTGCATTTTATATTCATTCATTTAATTCTCGTATCAACACCATGAATCTAGGAATTACCACTATTTTATAAGTGAGACCCCACAGCAAGTTAAGGGGGAATGTGTATATGTAGTTGTTACATGGAGGAAAACAATCAGGGTTGGGGGAATCCATCAGGTTGTGTGTGTGCTCTTTGGTGTGCTAGCTGACAGTAGCTTTAGGAGAATAGGGTATGATACCAAGCCTAGGAAAAGTCCTCATTTAGACCTTAGCAGTCAGTGTAGCTTTTTTCTTCTTTTTAATGAATTATTTAGCCGGGCAGTGGTGGCACACGCCTTTAATCCCAGCACTTGGGAGGCAGAGGCAGGTGGATTTCTGAGTTTGAGGCCAGCCTGGTCTACAGAGTGAGTTCCAGAACAGCCCGGGCTATCCAGAGAAACCCTGTCTCAAAAAACAAAAACAAAGAGTTATTTATTTACTTTATGTATATGAGTAAACTGCTGTCTTTAGACACAGCATAAGAAGGCATTGGATCCCATTATGGATGATTATAAGCCTCCATGTGGTTGCTGGGAATTGAACTCAGGACCTCTGGAAGAGCAGCCAGTGCTCTTAACCACTTAGCCATCTCTCCAGCCCCGTCATGTAGCTTTTACCCCTCACATACGCCTTTAAATTTTGTGTGTATGTGTGTTTGCCTGTATCTACATGCACTATATGTACGCCATGTTCACAGAGGCCATAAGAAAGCATTGGATCCCCTGGAGCTGGAGTTAGAGATGGTTGTGAGCCTCCACGTAGGTGCTGAGAATCCTGGGTCCTCTGGAAGAGCAGCCAGTACTCTTAACTGCTGAGCCATCCAGCCTGACAAAGGAAATTCTTAGAGCTTCTAAAACATGTCTCCATTCTGAATCTTCAGTGGGTATTTCTTCCTCTATTTAATTGAAGTCTTTCATTCTCTAATACATTTATTCACCCACAATTCATTTCTTTTATGTAAAAACTGATGAAAATTATCTTGGAAGGTCAAGATTAACCTCAAATCTTTTCAGAAAAAAAAAATGGTATATCAGGAATAAAGGGATGTCATAGTTCAGATTCTGCAGTGCCAACCTTAAGGGCAAAGTGAGGTCGCTGGCTTTTTCTCTTAGATTCTGTTGCAAGGTGCTTCCAAAAGTTGACAGGGGACTTGGGGACATGTGCCTTCTTCTTGTACCAGGAAACCTCAGCACCTCTTGCTCATGTCACTTTTTAAAGAAAGGTTTTCTTGACTTTCTGATTTCCTAGTTTTAAGCTGTAACAGCATTGTGTATCTTTTTAATTGTGTATGTACATTTATTTGTATGAGTATGTGCCATGCCACATGTATAGATGTTAGAGGGGAACTGCAGAGTATTCGGGTCTGTCACTCTGCCATGTGGGTCATGAGGAAGGAACTCTGCCCTACCCCCCACCCCTTGCCAGAATGTTACCTAAGTAACTGTCAATGTCAGGCTTCAAAATGGGTGAACCTAAAGCCAGGATAGTCCTACAGGGCTGCAATGCTAACTCAGGAGTTGGGGGGAGGGTTGCAAAGACATCTCAATTTTGAGGTCATCCTGTTCTTCACAGGGAGACTCTTTATCAAAGAAAAGGGGATATAAAAAGGGTAAATACTGCCAAGATTGCCACTTGAACAGATTACAAAGGCCATTCATACCATTTCCTCATGTGATGAAAAAGTCTGAAGGACCAAAATGCAGTGACCTGATTTAAATGCAAACACAGTCTCATCTAGATAAAATTGTCAGGCAGCCTCAAAAGAGAAATAATTATTCACCTGGCTCAAAAAGACATGCATAGAGAACAAGATCACTTCAAGTCCTCAGAATTGCCTAGAATTTAATTTACCTACCCCTCTGAGGCTAGGGTTTATTCACTTAGCAAATATTTACTAAGTAACAGCAGGTACTAAGCACTTGAGAGGAAATGGTGAAGGCATGCCTGGTGGGATTAGCTTGTAATCCCTGCACTCAGGAGTCTGAGGCAGGGGGATGGGAAGTTCAAGGTAAAGCTGGGTTACAATGTGAGTTTAAGGCCAACCAAGTGACATAGTATGACCATGTCATTCACTCATAGCTAGGTAGGTAGGTAGATAGGTAGGTTGGTAGATAGAATGATGAGCAAAGCAGATGTGAATGACTCCGCTCTCATGGAACAGACACAGGAGACACAGGAAATAAGTCCAAAATTGCAACTGTAATGTGTATAGCTAGGAGATGGTGCCTTTAATCTCAGCACTCAGGAGGAAGAGGCAGGCAGATCTCTGAGAGTTCAAGACTAGCCTGGTTTGCAGAGCTAGTTCCAGGACAGCCAGGGAGGGATACACCAAGAAACTCTGTCCTGAAAAAACAAAACAAAACAAAACAAAACAAAAAGTTGTAACCGTATGTGCTATTCAAAAGGAACAGGGTAGACGGAGAGATAGTGCAGCAGGTTAAGGCACTTACTGCCACGCCTGACTACCTGAGTTCAATTCCCTGGACTGAAGTGATGGAGAGAGAACTGACTGCTGTAAAGTATCTTCTGACTTCCATACGTGTATTGTGGGATATGAGCACAT